GGGTAGTGCGGGGAGGGAGAGGGGTTGGTGTTGGGGCTGTAGTTGAGATAGGAGCTGTGGTTGAGATTGGGGTGTCTGGGTTTAGAGTGGCAAAGGAATTGGTCTGAGGGATGTAGAATGTAGAAGTGGAAATGGGGACATTTTTGGGTGGAGGGGGAAGGGCTGAGCGAACGATGTTGCTAGAATATGGAGTATGAGAGAAACCTTGTCGACGTGCTTCCTGTCTGGCTTCACGTAAAGTGAGACCATTTTTGTATCTGAGAGTTGCTACCTCAGATTCAAATTTGTAAGTGGGACAGCCTCTATAAAATACATTATGGGGGCCGCCGCAGTTAGCACATGTTCGTGTTTGTGCTGAGCAGTTTGATCGATTATGACCAGGTTGGGCACATATGGGGCATCGGTCTGTGGAACGGCAATGTTTGGCAGGATGTCCAAAGCGCCAACAGTTTTGACATTGACGGGAGGGGGTTGGTATGGTCGAACAGGGAGGGATTGTCCACCAATGTAGATACGTAAGGGAAGGTCATGTGTACGGAAGGTAATTTTGGCAATATTGGTCGGATTCTTTCGTTGACCTTTAGGAGGAATGGTGTAGCAATGTACTGATTTCACATCTTGGTCTTTGAGGCATCCTAATAAGTCTTCTCCACAGTCTGACCAATCTTTGGTATCGACTGGGCAGTTTGCTGGGGAGAGAGAGACAGTTCCGGTACAGGTATTAAGGGTTGGATGAGGTTCTGCAGGAATGGGGTTGCCAGAATGATCAGTTAAATTTGACAGTGCTATAGATTCAGTTTCTGATCTGACTGTTACCAGACGGGAGCGATCGCGTCTGGTATAGAAAGGGACTCTGCCTACTTGTTTTTGGAGGCATTGTTGAAAGAGAAGAGTGTTGCCTGAGTAAGGAGCTGTAGCAGGGATCACGAAAAATCGGTCCCATTTAGCTGGGCTAAACAGAGTATTTAAGATATCTGTAGGGTTGGTGGTGGTGGATGGTCGGGGACGTGTGGAAGAGGGAGTATTACGGAATGATGGAGAATAAGGTTGCAAGGTAGTAATAAGGGAGGATTGGTTGTTTGATGAAGGTTGCAGGGGTGGAGTTGAATTTGAGGAAGTTGGGTGGGTAGGAATGTCTTCTGGAGATTGATTCTCTGCTTGGGTGGGTAATGCACTAGTAGGCATTGAGGAGTGGGTAGTAGTTTCAGTGTTCGGAGCCGTGGTCAAAGGAGAGCCTGGGTTGGGGCTATTTGATAAAGGGGCTAGCCTCATAGCCTCTAATAAAGGGATTACATTTCATTACTGGTCATGGGGAACCTGGATTATGTAAATAGGCCTAATCGGTCCACCTCCTTTCGCTACTGAAGGTAAGGGCTAGATTAGTCAGGAGTACCGTGCCCATAGTTCCCGCAGGCCGTTCAGGACTGGCACTAGGTCAGCCTTTCATCCTCTCAGCACGGCTCTCACACCTTAGGAAGTAGATAGCAGAAGGGGATGGAGAAGAGACGGAAACAAAAGCTGGAGAGGAAAAAGACCATGCAAAATTAGTTGAGTCGAGGGCTGAGGCCCTAGGCAGGGGAGATCCCTGTATTGGGTCTCAGTCTTCGTCTCCTAAGCCCCCCCACGACAACAACGGGCAAGGGATTGGGGGGGGGAAGGTAACATGAAGATGGAGGAGAGTTTTGCGATCTGAGCCCCAGGAGATGAGGGAAAGAGTTCGTAAAATTCGGAGGCGGCGTTGAGCTTTTTCTTTGATGTACAAGATATGGTCTCGCCAGGACAATTTGGAATCAAATATAACGCCTAGGAATTTGCCAGAAGAACGGTATTGGAGAGGAGCGTTATATAAGAAGAGTGGGGGTTTGGGGACCGTACGTGAGCGAGAGAAAAGTATGGGGAAAGATTTGGATGTAGAGAAGCGAAAGCCATGGTTAGTGGCCCAAGAAGTTACTGATATTGCAAACGGAAGGAATTGACAGAGATCTGGTATGGATGTGCCAGATGCTTAGATGGTTAAGTCATCAACATATAGTGATAGCCCGGACTCCTGGTGGTAGGACTATGACTATGTCATTTACAGCAAGAAGGAAGAAAGTGGTACTAAGTACACTTCCTTGTTGGACGCCTTCGAATTGAGGAAAGATGATGACGTGGAAGAGGCAATTTTGACATGGGAAGTACGTTTAGAAAGGAAAGATTTAATGAAAACGCCCATGTTTCCACATAAACCTAGGGAGGACTATTGTTGGAGGATATGGTATCGCCATGTGGTGTCATATGCTTTTTCTAGATCAAAGAAAATGGCTAATACGGATTCATGGCGTGCAAATGCCGATGTACTATACGTCTCGAAATGGGCAAGTGGGTCTGCTGTACTTCGGGCACGTCGAAAACCAAACTGGGAAGGAAAAAGGAGATTATGAGATTCAAGATACCACATTAAGCGGAAGTTAACCATTCGTTCTAGTAGTTTGCACAAGCAGCTAGTTAGAGGTATGGGGCGGTAATCTTGGGGTGGGGTACCTGATTTATTGGGTTTTAAGAAAGGTAGGATGAGAGCATCTCGCCAATGAGAAGGAAAATTTCCTGACATCCATATGTGGTTGAAAATAGTTAAAAGGAAGGATAGAGAGGAAGATGGGAGGTGTCGGAGCATAAGATAGTGAATACCATCAGGGCCTACATGAGTGTTGCGGCACGACTGTAATGCAGCGTTGAGTTCAGAAGAAAAAGGAGCATTATAGGACTCATCAGATAGGGTGAGGGTAATAGGGATGCGTTCTTTGATGGTTTTAATGGAAGAAAGGTGTGGAGAAAGGTGAGAGCCACTACTGACCTGGCTGAAATAGTTGCCCAGTTCATTAGCTACTTCGAAAGGTTCAGATATGGGAATATCTCGAATATAGAGGACGGGTGCAGGATGGGGGGGATGTTTGCCTGATAAAATATGGATCCGTCGCCAAACAGCTGAAATAGATGTAGAAGACGTAATTGAGGAAACATAATTTTGCCAGCTATTTGTTTTGCTATTTCTAATTGTATGGCGAAGATGGGCAGATGCCCTTTTAAAGAAAAATAAGGGCTGATAGCTGGTGAGGGGTGCCTCGTTTGTAGCGATAGCCGTTGCAGGCTGCTCGTTTTAAGCGAAGCGCTTTGGTGCAATCAGAATTCCACCATGGAATACTTTTAGAGGGGTGTTTGATGAAGGTTGTAGGAGTAGAGTTAATGAATTTGAGGAAGTTGGGAGGGTAGGAATGTCTTCTGGAGATTGATTCTCGGCTTGGGTGGGTAATGCACAAGTAGGCATTGAGGAGTGGGTAGTAGTTTGTGTTTGGAGTCGTGGGCAAAGGAGAGCCTGGGGTCGGGGAGCTGGTGGGGGTATTTGATGAAGGGGCAAGCCTCATTGCCCCTAATAGGAGCATTACATCTTCATTACTGGCCATGGAAACCTTTGATTATGTAAAGAGAAATAAACAGTCCACCCCCCAGTGCCCTGTACGGGGGGGTAAGGTCTAGGCAACTAAATCAGGGGAGTACCGTGCCCATGGCTCCCGCAGGCCATTCAGGACTGGCACAAGGTCAGCCTTTCATCCTTACACCTTAGGAAGTAGATAGTAGAAGGGGTTGGAGAAGGGACAGAAACAAAAAGCTGGAGGGGGAAAAGACCATACAAAATTAGTTGAGCCGAGGGCCAAGGCCCAAGGCAGGGGATCTCACCTGCCTTGGGTCTCAATCTCCGACTCTAAGCCCCCCACGACAATTGTCAATGGATTGGGTCTATATTTAAAAAAGATGGTTCAACTCAATGCCCCAATTACCAACCCAACAGAAATATCACATCTGTTATGTTTGAATTCCAGTAGCACTACAAGCATGCCTATACTTTTTTGGGGGAAAACTATACATGTATGTGCTCATTTTGGGACTTCAGGGAGCACTTAAAGCCCACCTAATGGCACCTTTATTTTTTTTTATAACTTGAAGATTGCTTCACATTTACATTTACATTGCTACTATTTTCTTTAAAAAGTTAAAACTTTCCATAGAGCAAAATTAAGAATATTTGGGATGTAAATAAAGTAGTTTGACACTTCAAGGAGGTTAGTGAAAGGCCAATATAGTATATATATATATATATATATACCTAGCAGTTATGCCACTACATTCACCAAGATCATTGCACACTCTTATTGGCAACCAAAAAGTTGTAATGTATAATGGTAAAATGTTCCACCACACTAATTACTGTATTCTTTCATTCAACATTTTTGACACTAAACTTGTGTATATTCCAGAAAAAATAACTAATTCAAATTAACAATAGTAGTAATGATAATGATAATAATAATAACACAAAATAACAATAACAGTAATAATATTTTACTTACTTCTAAATACATGTAATTCAATAAGTAATATCATTATGTGCATTATCGTCAGGATAGGTCTAGGGAATATGAAAAGAGCTTTTTCATATTTAACGACAATCCGGAATTACCAACAGAAACATACCAATCTTTTATTCTAAAATAAAAGTAACTTCATATGACAAAATGTGGTTAAGAACAGACATGTAAAACAAAAACAAAAAAATACAGATGATTAGTTTATATAAGTAGACAACATGTCTTTTTGAAATAAAAAAAAATCATACAAGGAACTTAAGAAGTCACAAGCCTATGAGAAATTCTGTAGACTCTCATTCACAAGCTTCACAGACTCCCCTCCCCCCCCATTCTCATTCATTCATTCATTCATTCATTCATTCATTCATTCATTCATTCATTCATTCATTCATTCATTCATTCATTCATTCATTCATTCTCTCTCTCTCTCTCTCATCCTCTCTCTTCTCTCTCTCTCTCTCTCTCTCTCTCTCTCCTCCTCTCTCTCTCTCTCTCTCTCTCTCTCTCTCTCTCTCTCTCTCCTCTGTACATACCCAATCTTGGTGAAGGTGAACGAAACATGCAAGGCAGATTAACTCAGCCACATTCCCTTAATTTTTTTTTTCTTTTTTTCTTTTTTTCTCACTATTTAAAAGCCTGGTACTATGTGACCTTTAGATTTCATTTTTTCCATCTTCTTATTCAGTCTTCTCTCTTTCTGTGCTTTTATATTTCTCTTTCTTCTTGCTTGTTTCTCCTCCTGTCTCTTCTGCACCATCTCCTTGCGATGTTCCCACTTCTTTGAACTCGTCTTCTTTCGTTTTTCTTTTAGTTTGATTGATTTCCTTAATAAATCTACATCATCTCGAACCTGTTTCAAACAATTTGAAATGTAAGAATTTTCCTAAAGTACAATATCAATCATTATGCTACAGACTTCTCTTATGTATATACAGAAAACATTAGGCATGTAAGTTTCAAAAAATAACAAGAATAATACCAGCTGAGGATTTGCCTCATTGTCATCAATAAAACCACTTACTTTTTTCCCCTCAGCTTTCTGCATTGCTGAGCTCCAAGCTGCTTCCTCCATTCTCTTTGCTGCCACATCACCAGCACCTTTCTGCTCTAAATCTTTCCTCTTTTGGAAGCAGAAGAAAAGGAGAAATTTAAAATATCATCACAGCAAGAGCTGCAGTAATTCAGAAAGAATAATTCAGGGCTGTGGCTATCTTTAGAACATCCACTTATTATAAAGAACATAGGTGACCTGTTATAGCATGAAAAAAGACAAATATTATTAATAACAATAACTAACTAAATAGATAGATATATAAATAATAAATGCATACATTAGTAGTACAAACCTTTTCCTTCTCCTTTAGAGTCTTGGCAAGCATCACCTTCAAGTCCTCTGGTCTTAATTTTGTCTCCACACCTTGAAGTATGGGAGTGTGCTCCGAGAAGTCAAATTTACTGTAAACAAGCTTCCCGTGGATATTGTAATAAGCTTTTCTTGCTTTCAGTTCAGCTTTTGGGAGAGAGAGATTATGACATTAAATGTAACATCATAGAAATATACTGTAATTTACTCACTTCCTAGGACTAAATAAACATTTACTGTACCAAGGAAAAGAGAAAATATACCCGTATGGGAGAGGGGGAAGAGCAGTAAAAAAGAAAGGGAGGTGGGGAGGAGAAGGAGCTGGAGGAGGAGGCAGCATGGAAGGAGGAGGAATACTAAGAAAATACGCGAGAGAAGGAATAAGCTTAGTGTACCAAGGAAAAGGGAAAACATACCAACATGGGAGAGGGGGAGAGGTGGCCGCAGCGGGATAGGAGGAGGAGGAATACAAAAACAAAATATGCAAGAGAAGGAATAAGAAAAGCAGAAGAAAACTGTTAGCCTCATACCTTTGCGTTCTTCTTTAGCCTTCTTCTTCATATCCTCTAGTTGTCCAAGGTCAGCACGGAATGATTTCTTCTTCTTGGCCATTTTCTCTTTTCTTCTTTCAATGACAGTAATTTTCTTCTGTAGCTTCTTTTCTTGCCTTTCTTCAATGTAATCTAACACTCCTTTCTTTCGTTTTTCTGGAGGGATAGAGACAAGAGGGTGAGAAATATACAGAAAGCATGCATGCGTGGGTAGCTGTACATGCATGTGAGGGTCGATGTATACAAGTGTATGGTTAAGTAGATGTAGATGGAGAGAGAGAGAGAGAGAGAGAGAGAGAGAGAGAGAGA